GTCGATCTTCTGAATGAAGTTGGTCGTGACCTGCCTCTTGTCGCCATCGTCGCTGCTGTACGTGTCCTGCTCGGTGAGCTGCGTCACGTCGCTGTAGGCGTCCGCCAGGCACCAGCATGGCTCTGGCAGGTTCGGGTCGACTGGCTGGATCGGCGTCGTTGTGAAGCAAAGGTTGCCGCAGGAAGCATGATTTTGGTACCGATACTGCTTCATATACTCGCCACAGCAGTTGACCTTCACGACTCGTTGCGGGCATCCTTCTAAGTGCGCCCGCTGCGGTGCAGCTTCCCACTGCTCCCCGTCGTCGCTGCTGCTATTGTGGACCTTGTAAATTTCAACTAGAAACTCCAGGCCGCTGATGGTCCTGTCGCCGTCCATGAACTCCCTGAAGTCGACCGGCTCGTACTCGAAGTCGAGCTTCGCGTCCTTCGTCTGGTCGTCCATTTCCTCAAGCAGGTCCACCATGTAGTGGCCTTGCGGAGACGTGCGCGCCTCCTCGTAGCTGCCGCCGTTCCACGCCAGCTGCTGATTCGCAAAGTCGACCTGCACTGCGAACTTCTCCAATAGGGGCCGCGGGAAGAGTATTGGCGTCTTCCCTGGAACGAGGTAAATGTACAGGGTCCCCGTCTTGCTCTTGAAGCTCGCTGGAATGATGCCTCACCACAGCGCGTGCTCCACCTTTCCGTTGCCGAATCGGAATGGCTTCCGACACGTGTGAAACTCCAGCGTCTCGATCGGATAGCCCCTGGCGTGGCATGTTGTCAGGTATTCCTTGATAGTCTCCGAACCTGACATAAGCGTAGTCGCGCCGCCGTCCAGGATCGCCAATTGTGCGGGAATGATGCTGGCCGTCTTGCGGTTGCCCCAGTAGACTTCGCAACCATCATCTCTTGATCCATCTGTCCGTGGGGCCGCTTCTTCGGTGGCTCCGGGCAATCCTTCGCCCAGTGTCCAACTTCGCCACATCGTAGACACGTCGCTTTGGATGGTGCTGGCCTCGTAGCTGCATCCGCCCTCTCCGTAGGTCTTGGCCTCGTGTACGGATTGAATGGGCGAGACGGTGCCGAGTGTGGTGAGCCCTTCCGTCCTGGGCTGCCCTTCCGACCAGCTCCTCGAGAGCGTCCGCGTCCTTTGGCTCCGCCCTTGCTCGGAGGGCGCCTCGGTGCTGCCGATGCTGATGATCCCTTCGCGCCTGGTACCATCGCCACTACCGGGTAGTAGCCTCGTGCAAGCTTCAGGTCGTTGAAGCGCTTGCGAGCGTCGTGGTAGGCCGCGTAGACATCGTCGTACTCCGACACATCGAAGTCCTGCATCGTCGCAGTGTCCCGCTGATAGTAGGCCTCCTCGCAGTCGTACCAGCTCTCGTCGCCGTCCTCGGCCCAGTACTCCTGCTCGTAGCCGTCGTCGAACTCTAGTTCGTCGTCCTGGCCGTAGTATGCATCCTCTTCGTAGTACTCTCCTATCTCGTCGTCCACGTGGTACTGCTTCCGTGCATGATTAGGCTCGTATATTGTGCTCTCCTGTCCGAATGTCGTCTCCAGCGCCTCGATCACTTTGTCCTGTGTGATATCCTTGCCCACGATGGACATGATGACTGCCTTCTGGTCTGAACTGTAGCCGCCTCGTCGTAGGATCAGCCAACCACGAACCTTAGATGGCAACTCGATGTCGTGCGTCTTGAGCTTCCGCTCTGCCGCCCGAACTCTTGAGATGTAGCTGAACAGTATCTCTGCTCGATTACGTCCAAACTTGTAGAAATACTCCTCAAAGTCATCTGCCAACTCCGTCCGTGTGTCCATCTTGAATCGCTTCCGTAAGCGTGTGAGCAGCGGTGTAGCCGCGCCAGGCTTGATCAGGTCGTCCGCCGTGAGGTCCTCGACTTCATCCCAGGCTTCACCCGTCAGCCCGGCCGATAACATGAGAGCCGCCTCGCCCTCCTTCTCCAAGGTAAGCTTCGCTATGAACATAGTCGCCCGCTTCTCGTACTCCTTCCACCTCGACAGTGTGCCATCGAACTGTGGAACTCCGCGTTCTGGTAGTATCGCCTGCTGGTCATCAGCTCCTCTGCCGCCTGCTTTCGCCGTGATGCTAGCCTTTGCTGCGTAGAGGTCGCTGTCGCTGTCGCTGTCGCGGGAGGTGTACTGCTGCTCGTACTCGCGGCTGTAATTGTTGATCTGGACCTCGCTGGAGGTCGATTCCGAGTCGTAGCTGGGGACGAAGCCGCCTGCTGTGGAGTAGTGGCCGTCGATCTCGAGCGGTCCACTGAATATGGAGGGCGCCGACGAGCCTGCCGAGTGATCGACAGGCTCCGCTACCAATATGAACTTATCAAAGCCCACGAAGTCTTTGACGGCAATGAATACAACACTGATTATGAAAGAGAATCTCATTCTCACAGCGCGCTCTGTCTGACTCAAGGGCCCTGCCGCAATCCAGGGCCGAAACGGTTGCGGGCTCGTGCTATACAACACACACGCACGAGCATGCACACTAGATGTACAGCGTATATCTCACACCCCCTCCCCCTTCCCCCACTCCTTACAAATCGTTAGTTGTCTCGCAGTACGGATACATGTCGTTGTATGTTCCATACGCGCAGGCGGCCATGGCCTCACCCATCTGGTCTCAATTGGTCCTGGACTACTGTCCGCTGAGGTGGTTAGTTCGTTGGTTCGTCCTTCTGCTCCTATTCCCCTCTCCCTCCCCAAACCCCGGGCGACTCGTTTTTACCTAACAGCGAAGACTGATAGGTTTCTAGTAGGGTCAAAAGAGAGCATTATGACGCCCTAGGGGGGTCTGGGCGAGATCCGGGGGAGGATGCCCGGGATTATTGTTTTAGCCAACAGCAACGCACTTCGTGGTCTTCGAGTTCCCAGAACTCCATTCCTGGGCATGATTTGGAATGCCCTGAGCCAACTGTAGGCCACTTCGTGTTCTTCGAGTTCCCAGAACTCCATTCCTGGGCATCATTTTGAATGCCTGGAGCCAACTGTAGGCCACTTCGTGGTCTTCGAGTTCCCAGAACTCCATTCCTGGGCGTGATTTTGAATGCCAGGAGCCAACTGTAGGCCACTTCGTGGTCTTCGAGTTCCCAGAACTCCATTCCTGGGCGTGATTTTGAATGCCCGGAGCCAACTGTAGGCCACTTCGTGGTCTTCGAGTTCCCAGAACTCCATTCCTGGGCGTGATTTTGAATGCCCGGAGCCAACTGTAGGCCACTTCGTGGCCTTCGAGTTCCCAGAACTCCATTCCTGGGCATGATTTTGAATGCCTGGGGCCAACTGTAGGCCACTTCGTGTTCCTCGAGTTCCCAGAACTCCATTCCCGGGCCACATTTTGAATGCTGCTGAGGCAGGCTGATGCTGAGGCTGAGGCAGGCTGAGGCTAAGGCAGGCTGAGGCTGAGGCAGCTTGAGGCTGAGGCCGAAGCTGAAGGCAGACTGAGGCTGAGGCTGAAGCAGGCTGAGGCTGAGGCTGAGGCAGGCTGAGGCTGAGGCTGAGGCAGGCTGATGCTGAGGCAGGCTGAGGCTGAGGCTGAGGCTGATGCAGGCTGAGGCTGAGGCAGGCTGAGGCTGAGGCCGAGGCTGAAGGCAGACTGAGGCTGAGGCTGAAGCAGGCTGAGGCTGAGGCAGAGGCAGGCTGAGGCTGAGGCAGGCTGATGCTGAGGCAGGCTGAGGCTGAGGCTGAGGCTGATGCAGGCTGAGGCTGAGGCAGGCTGAGGCTGAGGCCGAGGCTGAAGGCTGACTGAGGCTGAGGCTGAAGCAGGCTGAGGCTGAGGCTGAGGCTGAGGCAGGCTGAGGCTGAGGCTGAGGCAGGCTGATGCTGAGGCAGGCTGAGGCTGAGGCTGAGGCTGATGCAGGCTGAGGCTGAGGCAGGCTGAGGCTGAGGCCGAGGCTGAAGGCAGACTGAGGCTGAGGCTGAAGCAGGCTGAGGCTGAGGCTGAGGCAGGCTGAGGCTGAGGCTGAGGCAGGCTGATGCTGAGGCAGGCTGAGGCTGAGGCTGAGGCTGATGCAGGCTGAGGCTGAGGCAGGCTGAGGCTGAGGCCGAGGCTGAAGGCAGACTGAGGCTGAGGCTGAAGCAGGCTGAGGCTGAGGCTGAGGCAGGCTGAGGCTGAGGCTGAGGCTGAGGCTGATGCTGAGGCATGCTGCTGAGGCAGGCTGAGGCTGAGGCTGCAGGCTGAGGCTGAGGCTGAGGCTGAGGCTGAGGCTGAGGCGAGGCTGAAGGCAGACTGAGGCTGAGGCTGAAGCAGGCTGAGGCTGAAGCTGTGACTGAAGCGACTGCCGTTGCCACTGCGACTGTCTGCGACACTGCGACTGTCATCGCGAATGCGACTACGACAACGAGAACAGCAGAATTCTACAACTGGATTCTCATCTGAATCTTAAGGGGAATGCTTCCAGATATGCTCCTACACATCGCTGTTAGGTTGCTTTGCCGGGAGACGCGGCCCCCAGACCTGACGCCCCTCCCCTGGGGCTGGCTCCCACCCCGCGGGACGTCTGTTTTTGGGCAGCTTCCGGGCCCGCAGCGGTCCTCCAGGCGCAGCGCAGACAGGAAAAGTGGGGTTCGCCACGATTTCTTTTGTGTTCGTCGCGCCCAGGGGGTCTGCGTCCTCCCGCCTTTCTTCTCGCCTCTCAGGGGCAACGTCAGGGCCCCCAGAGGGGCTTGGCATCGCTCGGACGTGTGCATTTTTTCTTCGGTGGGGACCATCCAGGAGCATCCTTGATCATTTGGCGAAGAAATCACCCACCAAACCGAAAAAAACACAGGGAATGGACGTCCGAGCGATGGCGAGGGGGTAGGCGCAGGGGAGGGTGCATCGACCCCCAGTCGCCCATTGATCGCCGATAGGGGCCTGATGGTCCGCCCTGCCCAAGACCGTGCGGACTCGCCATCGGGGGCCCGTCGCCAGTCTATCGGCGATATGTCGCCGATTCTAGGTCGACGTTCCCCCCCTGAGCCGGTCCCACCCCCCTAGTTGCCCCTCATCTCCTCGGGGAGGTCCACAATTTCATGGACTACTCGCCCGACACCTGCATGGTGGGCTTCACGGAGGGCCAGAAGCGCCGCGCGTGGTGCGGGGAGGGGGAGGAGGGAGACATAAGATCATGAGGGGGAGGGAGGGTGGGTTCGATGCTCGTTTTGGGAACCTGCCTGGGTAACGGATCTTTTCGACTCCAGTTCGACTCAAGTTCGATTCAAATTTGATTCAGATTCGACTCAGGTTCGACTCCGGTTCGACTCGAGTCGACGGACGGTTTGCGCAGTTTCAACGCACAAGCGGATCGAGTTGCTCCAAGAAGGTCTGAGCATCTAAGGTGGGGGAGGGGAGGAGCAGCGCTTCGAGCACCGTCCAGCAGGCCGTAGCATGCAACATCTTTTTTTTCCTGGGGGGCGCTCTCATGAGCCCTGCCTGGGCCGTCTTGCGACTCTTGGGCACCCGTGGGGTCGTCTTGGGGGGCCTCCTGATTCATGAGCATCCTCGGGAGTCTTGGGCCCCTCTTGGCTGTCCAGGCATTCTCTGGGATCTGTCTGGGGACACTCTTCGGGTCGTCGTTGGGCCCTGTTGGGCTAACTTGAGGTTTTTGGGCCATCCTGGGCTGTCTTGGGAGTTGTCCTGGATTGTCCTGGTCTCTAGACGGGCTCCTCTGGGCTTGATGGGGTCCTTCATGTGTGGGTCCTCTTGGAACCAACTTGCGCCGAGAGCCCCTGCAACGCCACACCATTGAATTTTTAAGGATGTCCATCGTATTCGCGTGATTATTCTCCACGCTTTGCGTATCCCCACCAGCAGCTGCTGCCTGAGTGGGCCGGCCGGCCTGCGCCTGTCTTAGCTAATTCGCCTAGTTCGCGTCCCGGACTTTGCTCTCGCCGCCTGACCGTCGTCTCGCGGCCGCGACCGAAAAAAGTATCCCCACCAGCCCATTCAGAAACCCTGGCCTTCAGAGCTGACGGGAAAGGGGACGAAGAGACACATCTAGAGAAACAACGCGAGCAAGGGTGTGGCCTTGGAAGGCCTCTTCGAGCCATCCCTGGGTGCCGCGTGGGGGCGAGGGGAAGAGGAGGAGACGGAGGAGGAGGAGGAGGAGGAGGAGGAGGACGAGGAGGACGAGGACGCGGATGAGGAGGAGGACGAGGAGGACGAGGACTAGGATGAGGACGACGCGGACGAGGACTCATTGAACCATCTAGAGGTATTCTTGCGGCTGCTGTTGCTGCAGCTGGTGCTCTCCAGGAGTTTTGAGGGCCTCTTGGAACCCTCTTGGGAACCCTGGAAGGCTTCTTGGGATCATCTTGGAGGCCATCGATTACAGGATGGGGGGGTCCCCAACTCAGCTCCCCCCTCAGGAGCCGGCACACCGCTTCTTGGGGCTCTCTTGGTGTGCTCTTGGGCGCTCTTGGAGCGGTCTCGGGGCCGTTTGGAGCATCTTGGGAGCCATCTTGACCCAGCTTGGGCTATCTGAGCCACCTTGGAGGTCATCTTGGGCTCTCTGAGGCCGCTCGGGGGGCTCTTGGGGGCCTCTCGGGTGCCTCTTGGGGCCCTCTTGGGACCCTCTTGGAGCCCTCTTGGGGCTCTCTTGGGGTTCTCTTGGGAGCCCTGGAGCGCCTCTTGGGGCCATCTTCGAGGCTATCGATCAAAGAGAAGGAGGGTCCAGATCGAGGTCCCCCCTCGGGGGCCACGATCCTCCTGAGGGGTGTCAAAAAGTTGGCCCTCCCAGGTGCCGAAAAAGGACCCTCCAACCGATCGCGGCCCCTCCCGTCCAGGTCCAGGGGAGGGGGTAGGGGGAGGGGTCAAGCCCTCCCCGAAGGGGAAGAGGGATTTTTGGAAGAGGAAAGGAAGACATCGTTAGACCA